TGGTGTATGAAAAGACAGAGAAAACTGACAAACATTTAGCTAGACTAAGAAATAAAAAATAAGGAAGACCCAAATGAATAACATCAGAGGGGAAAAGTGAAATATTACAATTGATACCTTAGAAATACAAAGGATTATTAAGGGACTGTTATGAAAAAACTATACGCCAAAAAATTTGAAAACTTAGAAGAAATGGATAAACTCTCAAACATTTACATGTAACCCACCAATATTGGACCAGGAAGAAATACAAAAACTGAACAGGCCAATAACAAGTAGCCAGATTAAAACAGTAGGAAAAAGTTTTCCAAGAAAGAAAAGCCTAGGACTAGATGACTTCACTGCTGAATTTTACCAAACTTAAAAATAATAATAATACCTTCATTCCCCCAAACTCTTCCAAAAAATTCAGAAGGGCATTCTTTCAAACTCATTCTAGGAGATGAGCATTACCACCAAATACTGAACAACAACAAAAAAAACTACAGGGAACTATCCCTAATGAATATGCATGCAAAAATCCTGAACAAAATACTAGAAAACCAAATCCAGCAGCATGTTAAAAAGATTATACACCATGATGAAGTAGGACTTATCCCAGTGATGGAGTTTGGGTGTGCTGTCCCCTCCAAAACTCATGTGGAAATTTGATCTCCAGTGTGGCAGTGCTGGAAACTGATTGAGTCATGGGGGCAGATCCCTCATGAATGGAATAATGCTCTCCTTGGTGAAGGGGGGATTAACGAGTGAGTTCTCATTCTATTAGTTCCCATGAGAGCTCGTTGCTTTAAAAGACTGTAGCACCTTCTCTCTCTCTCTTGCTTCTCTCTCTCCTGCTTCCCCTCACCATGTGATCTGCTTGTACCCACCAGCCGCCTGCCACTTTCTGCCATGAGTAGAAGCAGTCTGAGGTCCATGCCAGATGCACCTGTCCCAGAATCATAAGCCAAATAAACCTCTTTTCCTTATAAATTCCCCAGTCTCAGGTATTTCTGTTAGAGCAACACAAAACGGACTAAAACACCCAGGGATGGTACGATGGTTCAACATACACAAATCAATGTGTCATTTACCACATTAACAGAATGAAGGACAAAAATTATATGATCATCTCAATATATGTAGAAAAAAATTTGATAAGATTCAACATTCTTTCATGATAAAACATGAAAGAAATTAGGAATAGAGGAAATGTAGCTCAAAATAATAAAAGCCATATGTGGCAACCCAACAGATACCCATTTTCACCATTTTTATTTAACATAATACTGAAAATGCTAGCCTGAGCAATTATGTGATAGACAGATATATGGCATCCTAGTTGGAAAGAAATAAGTCAAATTTTCCTTGTTTGCGGATGACATTATCTTATATTTAGAAAAACACAAAGACTCCACCAAAAATTTTTTAGAACTAATGAACAAATTCATAAAGTCACAGAATGCAAAATCAACGTACTAACATCTGTAGCATTTCTAAATGCCAACTGTAAACAATCTGATAAAAAATTAAGAAATTGATTTCATTTACAATAGCTATAGGAAAAAAAAACCCTAGAAATAAAGTTATCTAAAGAAATTAAAGATCTGTACAAGAAAAACTATAAATCACTGATGAAAGAAATTATAGAGGACACAATAATATTGAAAGATATCTCAAGTTCATAAATTGATAGAATTACTATTGCCAAAATGTGCATATTATGCAAAGTAATCTATACATTGAATGAAATCTCTATCAAAATACCAGTGACATTCTTCACAAAAATAGAAAAAGTGACATAGGATAATTTCACATGGAACCCCAGAAGACTCTGAATAGCCAAAGCAATCCTGAGCAAAAAGAACAAAGCTGGAGGCATCATACTGCCTGACTTCAATATATACTATAAAGCTATACTAACGAAAACAGCATGGTTCTGACATTAAATAAAACAAAACAAAACAAACAGAAAAACACATTTAGACCAATGGAACAGAATAGAAAACCTGCAATTAAAGTCATGCATCTACAGCCAACACATTTTTGATAAATGTGCCAAGAGCATACATTAGAGAAAGAACAGTCTCTTCAACAAGTGGTGCTGGCATAACTCACTAGCCACATGTAGAATAATAAAACTAGACTCCTATATTCACACCATAAACCGAAATCAACTCAAAATGAATAAAATAACTAAATGTAAGACTTGGAAGTATAAAACTACTAGAAGAAAACATTGGAGAAACTCTATAGGACATTGTTCTGGACAATGATTTTTTAGTAAAACCACAAAAGTACAGGCAAAAATAGACAAATAAGATTATATCAAACTAAAAACCTTCTGCACAGCAAAGGAAACAACAAAATGAAGAGAAAACCTACAGAATGGAGAAAATATTTACAAACTATTTATATGACAGATTAATATCTGCAATATAGCAAAAACTCAACCCAGCAGCAAAAGGAAAAACAAAACAAAACAAAAACAATTCAATTTAAAAATGAGCAATTGATCTGAATAGAGATTTCTCAAAAGAAAATGTTCAAATGGACAAGTACATTAAAAAATGCTGATCATCACTAATAACAAGGGAAATGCAAATAAAAATCACAATAAGATATCATGTCACCCCAGTTAAAATGGCTATTATTAACATGACAAAAAATAACGAATGCTGGAGAGGATATAAAGAAAGGGGAATGCTTGTATACTGTTGGTAGGAATGTAAACTGCTACAGACATTATAAAAAACAGTATGAAAGTTCCTCAAAAAACTAAAAATAGAAATACCTTATTATTCATCAATACCACTGCTATGTATATGTTTAAATAAAAGAAAATGAGTCTATTGAAGATATACCTGCATCTCTAGGTTTATTGAAGCACTGTTTACAATAGCTTTACAGAAGCTTTGGAATCCACCAAAGTATCCACCAACAGGTATGTAGACTAAACAAATGTTGTACCACAATGAAATATTATTGAGCCATAAAAAGAATTATATCCTGTAATTTGCAGCAACATGGATGAACCTGAAGGACATGTTATTGCTATGTTATGTGAAATAAGCCAGGCACAGAAAGATAAATAGTGCATGTTCTTACTCATATGTGAGAGAGAAAAAAAAGTTGATCTCATGGAGGTTGAGAATAGACTGGTTGTTATCCAAAGGTGAGAAGGGTAGTGGGGAGGGGAGGATAAAGAAATGTTGTTTAATGGGAACAAAAATACAATTCCATATAAGAGAGAAGTTCTAGTGTTTGACAGCATAGTAGGGTGACTGTAGTAAATGACCATTCATTGTAAATTTCAAAATAGCCAGAAAGGAAGATAATATTCCCAACAAAAATTAATTATAAATTTATACATGATAGATATCCTAATTACCCTGACTTGATCATTACACATTTTGAACATGTATCAAATTATCACATACGCCCCATAAATATGTACAGTTGTGTATTTCAATAAAACAGCCTAAAAATGAATAAAAGGTTTATGTAATAAGGGAAATCTAACACTGTGTCACTTCTTTAATAGCGGCTCAGAGCAATAGATGGTATTGTTGGAGAGGGTGGAGCAAGACGGTTCACTAGAATTGTCTGGTGCTCATTCCCCTCCCCATAAAGAGACCAAAACACCAAATAGACAACTATATGTTGACTGAAATGACTGAAGAAATACACTACAGAGCATGAGGAGAGTGACAAAATCCCTGTGAAGCACAGAAGTCCAGTGTAGCACCTTAGAGAGCAAAGCAAATCACCCCGCCTCTGCCTCACTGTCTCTGCATGGACTTGTTTGGTTGTCAGGTGGAGAGAAGGTAAGGTGGAAAAACCCCAGCTGTTTCCACTGCCACCAAAAATTCCAGCAATCTCTGCCATAAGAGAGTCCCCACTCCTCACAGGCCCCAAACCCAGTTCAGAGAGTGAGTTACCTGGGAGTTTGTGCAGATGTACAGCCTCATAGTAGAAGCCCAGGGAGAGCAAATTCTATCCTCCCAAAGTAAGTGGTTAGAGCACAGCATCATCTTGAAACTGAACCTGCTGTGAAAGTGCCTCCTGTCCTGGGTGCAAACTGACCCCCTCCATCCTGAGGCCTCACCTTCATTCTACCATACTCACACAGGTGCTGGAAGGACCATGACACTGGCTGCCTGGAGCATATGCCAGACAGAAAGACTAATACCCCAGCCTCTGAACCCATGTGCACCCCCTTTATCCCAGGAGAACAGGCAGACCTACTCAGTGGGAAAGCTGCCAATAAGTTTACAGTCCACCACATTTGTGTGCATGCACCCTGCACACTCCTAGGCTTACTGAGCTTGGAGGTGCCAGTGACAGCCAGAAAGCAAGTCCAGTGGTACCTCTTCCTCCTCCTGGAAGCCCTCCTCAGAGCTTTTAGGCCCTGCTACACTATGGTACACCTGCCTAGTGACTGAAAGCAATTTGGCAGTGGTTATGCCTTTCCATAGTAGGCTTCTACAGAGCTGCCAAGCCTGGCTGCATCCTTGCAGACTTGCTCCAAACTCAGTAGCTCATCCAGTGGCCCTCCATAGAGCTGTCAGGCCCTGCTGCACTAATGTACACCTCCTCCCTGACCAACAGTGAACAGGTGGTTGGCATTGCCTTTCTACAGTAGACCTTACAGAGCTGCCAGGCCTAGCTGTGTCCCTGAAGGCTTGCTCCAGTCTCAACAGCTGATCCAGCAGCCCTCCTTGGAGATCCCCTCCAGCACCAGTGTACACCTGCTCCCCAACTAACAGTGATCAGACAGTGGCTTTGCCTCTGCATAGCAGGCTTCTACATAGCTTCTGGGCCTGGCTACACACCTGCAGGGTTGCTCTAAGCTCAACAGCTGATTCAGTGCCTCTCCATAAAGTGACAGGACATGACAGAACCAGAGCACACCTGCTTCCTGCAGGATAAAGGATTGGGCACTGGCTCTGCCTTCATCTAGTGGCCCTCCACAGAGTTTTCAGGACCTGCTGCATCTGTACATACCTGCTTCCAGCTTGATGGACAATCAGGCAGTGGCTTCTCCTCCTCTAGAAGGCCTCATAGAGCCACCTGGCCCTGCAGCACCAATTCATGCCAGCTCATGGCCAGGCAGTGGCATCCACTCCTCTGACAAGCCTTCAAAAGCAGCTTGGTCCCCCATCCTGCATCCAGGCTCACCAGTTTTCAGCCCAAAATCTGGTCAGGCAGCACACCACCCCCTGAGAGAGACAACCTTAGAGCTATTCACACAGGATTGGTCTTGTAACCAGTTGGGCAGCAACTCTATGCCTCAGAGAGACTACCAAACAGCCAGTTGGCCCTCCACACCCACACTCTCCCAGCTCAACAACAAGGTTGGAATCTCTAATCCAGCAAAAAAGAGCTAGTGTTGACTCAAACTCTCACAGTCTAGGCCACTGAGGCACTTGAAGACATCACTGAACAGGATTACAACCAAAGAAACTGATGGAGACTATGCTACTGAGTCCACCCAAAACCAAAGCCAATGTTACATATCCAACACACACCCTGGGACCCACATACAGGAAAAAGTTATTTCTATGTAATCTCCATACAATTGAGAAAAGCAACTAGTCCATTAGATACACAGATGTCAATGGAGGAACACAAAAAATATAACAAAGCAAGGAGACATGATCACCCCAAAGGAACACCATAAGTTTCCAAAACCAAAGCCAATGTTACATATCCAACACACACCCTGGGACCCACATACAGGAAAAAGTCATTTCTATGTAATCTCCATACAATTGAGAAAAGCAACTAGTCCATTAGATACACAGATGTCAATGGAGGAACACAAAAAATATAAAAAAGCAAGGAGACATGATCACCCCAAAGGAACACCATAAGTTTCCAATATCAGATTTTACAAAAAAGAAGTCATGAAATACCTGTGAAGAAATTTCAAATGACAATTTTAAGGAAACTCAATGAGATACAAGAGAACACAGACAAACAATTTAGTTAAATCAGGAAAACAATTCATGATCTTATTGAGAAATTTAACAAAGAGATATCATAAAAACAAACAGAAATTTTGGAGCTGAAGAATTCAATGAATGAAATAAAAATCCAATTGAGAGATTCAACAGACTAGATCAAGCAGGACAGAGAATTTGTGCACTTGAAGAAAGATCCTCAGAAATGGTCCTGTCAGATGCCGGGGGCCAGCCCCAGCACCGAGATTGTAAGGTCCCTGCTGATAAAGAGACCCCCAAGAGGGAGGAAAGGCAGCGTCGGCGATGGACAGCAAACACACAGACTCAAGGGATCTGCTGAATGCTGACACTTTATTGAAACATGCACAAAACTTTTATACTTTATCTTAGAGGGTACATAATCATTAAAATAATCATTGAACAATATCATAATATCTCTTTGTAAGTGACATATGTTTTAAGAAAAATAGCATTACAGTTTATTCCCAGAAAAGACAATTACAATGTCCTTTCCTTTGAGCAAGAACGTTACAATCCACTGGTCCCAAATAATCATCAACTGTTACTTTTACTTTAACTAAATCTACTGAACTTTGTATGACGTTATTAATACATAATCCAGCCTTGTACCTTAATCAAAGGATGTAAGCAGGAAGTCAAAGTTCCCTTCACCAGTATTTTTTCATTACTAAAACATATTGTAATATAAAATAAGATTTTCTTTTTACCTACTACATCCTATAATGTGTTAGGCCTTATGAAAATACTCTAAAACTTAACTTGAATCTATATTTCTAGGAGGAAAAGAAAGTTTATGTTTGATTCTTTGAAGCAAGCAAGTTAGGCATAATAGTAGTTATGTTGCCTAGCAACTTTCGGAGTAAATTTTCAATAACAACTCCATTACATTCACCAGCTGTATCAAAAACAATCCCTTCAGGAAGCAGACAAGGTAAATATGTACATGGGTCCATTGTCCCCTTCTAGTCCCAGCTGTCACGGACCACTTTCAGAAAACTTATGACTATAACTCCCAGGTGGGT